ACAGACAATATCAGTGGCGAAGGGGGCAGATGCAGAAGGTAACCACCCACAGAAGCCGGCAGCACCTTCAGCAGCGGCCAATCTCAGCAGGTGGCACATGCCCCCCCCATGTCTCCCTCTACCCGTCACCTATGATTGGGCCAGACTCCTGCCTGCTGCCTATACACACAGCTCCGCACCTTCAGTACTCTTGTGACCCAGCCAGCTCCTCCACCACCCAACACTGCTGCCCAGAGTCCAGGGCTGAGCAGCCCTAGCGTAAACTGCTCTGCCTCAGCTCAAATTGCTGCTGTCCCAGTGCATGTCTAGATGTCTCACCCAGGAGTACTTTATTCATGCTCAAACTGCTCTGAAGTTTATTACTTTGAATCAACTGCATGTGTAGATGCACCCACTGATACTTAGGATCTTCTTCACCAGCCTGAGCCACATAAACAACCCACTCCCTATTTATGTTACTTTGTGGCCTACAAAAAGCTATCCACATTGTTTCCTTTTCTTTGACTGGAGCCTTTCAATTAACCCAGTGGCTGACTAATTCTCTCCCACAGATGGCTTTACTAATGGGCAGTAGTAACAGGAAGTAGGATGCAGAGGGCAAGAAATCAGAAACAGGAAGTTGTGGGATTGCTCCTAGTAGATCTCCTGTACTCAAATACCCAAGGAAGTGTCAAATACATTGAAAGGAGGGACAGGGTAGGGTGGGGTAGGGTAGCATAGGGTAGGAGTCTGGTAGGCCAGTACTGATTCTCTGAAGTTCAGCAGGCTCTAGAGTCAGGCCGGACTACAACTAGGGTAGACGGTTGGTAGGTACTGGCTTGTGGGCACCCTTAATGTTAAGCCTAAGCACTGCAGACATTAAGTATGTAGCTAACTTGTGCTGCCAGTGCATCTTCACTGATATCAACACATGGTCCAGCTAAAATTCAGCTAAGCTACCCAGGGCTTTGTTACACGTTACTCTTAACATGTGCTATATTTAAATTATAGTAAGCACTAATACAACTTAGATAGGGTTATGAGCAGTTGCATGTTTATGTTTACTACAGTAATTTAAATACAGATCACAGCACTGCATGGGAGACTCTCAGCCCTGGGATCTCAGGAAGTCTTGCTGTGTCTAAGCGCTGAGGCCTGAAAATCAGCTAATTTTCAGGTCTCAGCCCTGCCAACACACCAGAGGGCTCAAGATCCCCTGATTTCCAGGTCTCAGCCCAGGGACCCAGTTGGAGACACTCATGAGGTCCTGGGGCTGGAACTCATAATTGATCATATTATCTCCATGTATCAGTCTCATATGAAGCCAACATGTTACATAATACAATTGGGAAACAATCCTCCCTGAAAAAGGCATAACTCTACTATGATATCTGAGCCCTTAGCATGTGTTATGCAGCATGAATGTTGAGACACTAGCTTTTTAAGTGAAGTTAATTAACACAGGCTGTGTGTAAGGCATAGCATAGGGATGTGAAAGGTTAGACAACCATTTAACGTTTAACCGATAAGTGCAATGATAACTGGTTAGCTTACTGGTTATCCTTTAGCTCTGGGTGGGCGCAGTCTGGCAGGGAAGGTGGGAAGGGAAGCCCCGTGGTGCCCCAGCAGGAATCACAAGGCAGCAGGGCAGCTAGGAAGGAGGGAGGAGTGAAGAAGAGGGGAGGAGGAGGGGGACTAGTACTCATAGCCTAAGAGGAAAACAGAGCAGCCTACCTAATGACTCATCAATTAAGCAATTAGCTGCTCCTTCACAGATGCTGGCTCCCTCCCTCCTGCACAGGGCTTCACCAGGGCTGTGTCGTCTGGCTGGGCTTGCCCCCTCCTCATCTCTTCCCACAAAGGGCTCCGGGCAGCAGCTGTGTCATCGGTTAATTGTTTAACCGATATAATTAGAGGAGGTTAAACAAATTTTTTTTTAAACAATATTTACATCCCTAATGTAGCAAAGTCACAACCTCTGCCTGCAGTGTAGACACAGCCTTAGGCTCGTGAACAACCTCACGAGAGTTGCTGGGAGCAAAGACCTCCTGCTCTGGGGGTGCAGAGTATTTTGCAAAAGCAGGCGCAGAATTTTTTAGTTCTTTATGTTTCTGTCTCTATTTCTCAAACAACCTAATTATACTGCTCGCACAGTGCCTGGGGAGTGGAAGCACTGCAGACACTGCCAAAATGCAAAAGACTGGATGTGTGTTGGGACTTCTCACAGTCCTCTGTCACATTCGATTTCCCAGGCATTCACCTGCCTGATTATCAACATCATTAAAAATCTGCTCGTGGAAGTGGTGCTGGGAAATGGCATTAATTACCCCTTCGGCATGGCACCATCAGAAATCTACCAGCTCCTACCAGTTAACGGCAAAACCACCTCCTTTCATGTGCAATTGTTTGACATTCATTTCTTCAGTCGTGTATTGTCATGCAAATGGCATTGCGTTTATAGTATTAATACCGCTGTGTATTTATAGCAAAGTTTGACACTGCTTCCCTCCCCTGGTCCTGTACTACTTATTCCCTAGTAAAATGAAATAAATTACAAAAATCAAAACCAGCCATAATACATTGTCACGTGAAATTTCTTTATGCTGCCTTCTGGGGGGAATCTATCGATCTTGTTTGCCCTTTGCGGTAACTAGAAAGGGATTTTTTTTTTTTTTTTTTTTTTTTTTACAAAAAAATCTGAGCCGTTGGCAAGCCAAGGGTCCAACCCCTTCATGAATGCTGCTCCTAAATCATGCTTGTCCAATACTTATTCAGCCTCCTCTTGAAAGCCTCCAATAAAAGAGATTTCATGACGTCCCTGGGCCGTTTCTCCACTGCCTGACACTGCTAACGGTAAGGAGGTTTGTCCTGAGCTCTAGTCCAAATCTACCTTGCTGCAATTTCAAACCACTGCTTTGTGTCCTGCCCTCGGCTGGAAAAAAGAACAGTTATTCCCTGTCTTCTTTTTAGCAGCCTTTCAAATATGCGAAGAGTGCTATCATGCTCCCTCTCTTACTCCCCTTTTCTTCATGGTAGACATGCCTGGGTCTCTCACCCTCTCCTTGTGCAGCCTTCCAACCCCGGTAGCATTGTTGCTGCCCACCCCGGACCCTCTCCTGCTTCTCCACGTCGTTCTTAAAGCATGGAGCCCAGAACCGCACCTAATATTTTTGGATGAGGCCACTTCATGCAGTTACCCCAACGTGCACAACGAAGCTAGGCTGCCCCAGGAGCAAACTACTGGAACTGCCTCACAAATGATTGCCTTTGAATTTCCCTCCATCTAGCTGTAGCCGATGTCTCCTGAAGCTGCTACTTGGTTATTTACAACTAGCTGTAACCTGCAAAACATGCGCGATTACATTTTTATTGCAAAAGTCTTTCTTTAAATGCAGGATTTCTAGTTATCCTTTGACCGAATACTGTAACGGAATCTGTAATGGAAAAATGTCTCACCCTTGAGAGGCACTATCCCTGCCGCCCTCCTGCCGTCTTCCCGGGGCAGCCAGCCCGTTCCCAGGCAGCGGGAAGATGGTGGGGATAGTGCACAGGGCGCTGGAAGCTGAGCTTCCCCAAGCACACGTGGCCTTCCAGCACCCTGTGCACCACTGGATCCAGTGGGTGCTGCCTGCAAGCTGGGGCTGCACCCGCACAGCTAGCGCCCTGCCAGGACAGAAGTAAACTGGTGCCTACCCCATAGGGAATACTATCAGCTCACTCTTCTGTGCCACCTCGGAGGACAGCTGGTACACAAGTGGGTGGAGGGGCACAGCCAGGGGTCTGCATATCCTTTGCCCACTCTCCCTCCGCTGCCACACCGACAGCGCAATTCTTTCACACCTTCCTCCACATCCAACAAGCGGCTTGCGACGGAGCCGCACGTGGAAGGGACTGCAGAGGGATCTCTGGAGGATGCGTTTTTTCCATGCTGCCCTCTGCAATCCCTTCCACAAACCCACTGCCACAACACTGCTCTCTCTGCTCTCCCATCTCCCCGGAAATCAGCCAGGTCATTTGACTCAGGTTGGGCACAACTGATGTTTCTTGATTTCATTTTTTTCAGTGGCACAGGTAATATTGATAACAACTGTATTTATTTTGGCCCTGCTTAAACTTACTATTTGAGTCCTTCACTTTAATCGGATGACTCACAGGTGCAGGCACAGGGGTGAAGACATCTTGTTAGCCAGGGGCGGGCAATTATTTTGGGCAGAGGGCCGCATACTGAGTTTTGGCAAGCCATCGAGGGCCGCATGACAGGCAGCCAGAGGCAGATAAATATTAATTTTCTAAATTTTTTTTAGGGGCCCTCTGGGCCAGATGGAATGGGCTGGTGGGCCACATCTGGCCCACAGGCCGTATTTTGCCCACCCGTGTCAGACCCTCCAGAAGCGTGAGTTCAAGTCTCGCTCTTGGCTCATACCCCCCAGTCACCCCAGTTATAAATGGCAACCTAATTATTTGAGCTGGAGAATTATTATAAAAGCCTGCGCCCAATTTAGGTCCCACGTAATGCCTCTTTTACTGGGAAATGCCCAGTTTATTGTAAGTAAAAACATACAGTATATTGGGAAAAGAAAAGAATAATATTAAATGTGGTCAATTTATCATCTACCCAGCAATGTAAGTGGAACCATTTTGAAAAGCACTTAGGGAATTATCACACATGTAAAAATAAATCAGTAAAACAGCACGTTTCCCTTTGCTGACTGTACTTCCGAATTCTACGCCCAAGTTGGAGCAGCGTGACAGAGCCATTGAAAGCTTGTTTTTAGCTCAGTTGACTAATTCACCATCAGAGTATCGTAGTTGTCTTAAACTTTTCATCTCCTGTTATCCTGGAGCCTGAAATTGCTACTTGATCTTCAATCTTTGATTTGCAGCACATAGTTAATGAGAAATGATTCACAATGCATACATGATTGGCAGCATAATGGCTATCTTTAAATAATGGATTTCAGTTTGATTATGAAAATCAAGATGGTTGAAAATTATATATATATAGATATATATGTTATTACCCTTACGCCCATGAACCTGTCTTTCAGCACAATCCAAGAAAGCAAGAAGACAAATGCTTTGTTACAACAGAACAGGGCAGAGACGTCTGTGGCTGTCAACTTCTTTAAAGCCAGTAAATACAGGTAATTAGTCAAAGTCCACAGAATAGAAAAGGGAGCAGTCCTTTTAAGAAAGAGTTTCAACGTCAGACCATCTTCACCAAAAATCCGACTGCATTCCCTAAGAAAAGAAAACAGTTTTACACTCAGCTAGTATTTGCGTAAAGTTGGCTCGAGCAAGGAAAACAAGTTCTCGGCTTTTATCACGTGCCAGGTTTAGTCATGGAAATGTTCGAATAATCCGTACACCCCAAGAAAGGACTGTTTGTACACTGGCAGGTTATATACAGACTGTAGCCTGTTTTCCTGGCTATTTAAAGCAGTGAAATATTATAGAAGCAACTTACCTGGAAGACCTACGCTCTATACAATAAATACATCAGAAAAGTTACTGTCACATGCATAAGTCGGGGTATCGATAATACTCAGAGCTTTTAAGCATCTATCTGTCCCGTATAGTCAAAGCTTAACACTGCAGTTCTTCTTGTGACTTGAAAAATTCCTGCTGCTTCTCCCTCTCTAAGGTGAGTCTCTTTCTGTTATTAACTGGGGTATAACATTCAGAAACACCCTGCATTTCACTGTAATGCAAGTACTCTGAAATCTTGAAAGTGTTAACTACAGAGCATAATACTTCCAGACAGCTCATTGTAGGTACAGGGAAACGTTCTCGCCATCGGTAAAACTGACCAAAAGGAAAAAAAGCAAAGAGAATTGGTTTTGCAAAACAGAACAAGCTTGATTTGAGGGGTCCACTATATGAAAAGCTGCATTCACTAGGATAAATGGAGACTTTTTTGTGGATAAAAATTGCAAACAAAATACAAGGCTTTGCAAATACTAAATGGGAACTTGTAGCTTCATTCAGCTTTGAAGGAAGCTCTTGAGGCTGGTTAATATTGGGTGATGCAGGAATGTCAGTGCTTTTATAGACAAGCAAAGTGACATTATTCGAACTGAATTCCTGGATTGGCTCAGAAGACTGCTTAAGTAGTTAAATATCCTGTTTGCTTAAAGGCAGATGACTGTATCGCCTTTGAACTTTCATGATCTTTCCTAAACCAGGTAAGCCTGTCATTAGCAATTTTACTTTCTCTGTATTCTAGGTCTATAGGATTCTTTAACAACTTCAAAAGCGTACTGATGTCTTAACACAGCAGGCGCTCTCACAGTACTATATCATGGCATGCTTTACCTCACCATTAAATAAATCATAAAGCTCCATTCCCATTTGCCTGGCCTCCAAGAAATTGGATCATCATTAGTACACGGTAATATTAAGAGACTTAGACTAGTTTCTTGAGACCTTAAACGCACATTGTTCCAAACCCGTGATAATGTTTAGCAGACTTTATAGACACTGGATGTATGCAGGTTTTATTAGCAACTCGAGGGAAGGCGTCATAGTCAGGTTAGAATGGTTAGTATGGTTAGAAGTAGTCAACTTTCCAACTACTTTGGGGAAATCTTTTAAATTATATTTTCAGACTTTTCCACATTTTTACTTTTGCCAGGCAAAATTCAAATGGACTCCTCTCGTGTTTTTATAAACTGCTATTAGTAAAACCATTTAGTTCTCAGTCAAACATTTCAGTTTCAAAAACCCAAACTAGAAACATTTGACTGAGCGTTCTGCTTGGCTACCGCTTGTATTCCTACAAGATATTAGTCACTATTTCATTCTTTTGGTTATTATTAATCAGATTAACTTAGCCACTTGAATATCTTTCTTTTTATCTTGCAGCTATTACCTGCAGAGTGCACCAAATCCAATAATATTTTTCCGTTATTGGTTCTTAATATCCTGGCCATTAATTTAAGTGGTCCCTCCCTTAAAGGGACCTCATTGATCATTTAGGGGTTGCAAGGGATCTCATGGGTCATCTAGTCCAACCCCCTGCACAGATGTCCCTGGAAATGAAGCAAAGAGTAATAAAAGGCAAGCCTATTTCTTGTCACACTTTGAAGAACTCATTCACATCTTTTCTAACTCCTATGGCCTTGGGCTAAATGTCACACAGAGGTGGGTTTTTGAATTTTGCTTCATAAGAAAGTCCCACCAGTTTTCCACCTTATTGCCCTTCTTAGTGCCTTTCTAATCTTGCCTCCAAAAGTTGTTGCTTTCTTAAATTCAATTTCTACTAACTGCAGTTGTTGCTGCAGCTAATAATCCACTGACATCACGATTTTTAGAGTCTGCCCGTTTACAGGTCATTCTTACTTTGATATCCCTAGAGGAAGACCTGCCATGATGTCACCTAAACTAATTTTTACCCAGGGGAGCACCTACGTTCAATTCCACTATTCACTCCCGCACACCATGGAGTCATTGCTCCCTTTCCAGCCTCTGAAACAAGCTGTTCCATAAAGCAGCAGTGTTTGGTAACAGTAAATTGCTTTTCCAAACAGTGCCCTGCTTCAACGAGTCAATGCCGGGCTAGTGCAAGTCATTAAGAGCTCATTTAGTTCTATTGAATATCATTTTTCTTACAATTTTGCAGAAATGCTAGCCTGCTGTGTGGAAAGAAAAGGTTTTGTTTCCCACAATTTCTCCTATCGCGTATCCATAACAAAATGATCTCTGCGGATGCACGTAAACCCATGCTGAATTTTAAGCGTATGCTTATGTCTCTTTGATTTCAATGGGAATTAAACGTGCTCAGATGCTTTTAGTGAATGAACAGGGATCGACTCAGGCCTGCTGTTAAAGATGAACACGCACTTAATTATTTTGCTCAAACTGGGGATGTAACGGCTACACTTCTGCGGTCTCCCTCGTGCCAGGGAGGGAGACAATTAGACGCCTTGATTCCAACTGCACTGAAGGCCTGATGTTGCAGCATAGAAATCAAAGGGAGATTTGCCATTGATTTCAGCCTCCGGTCTTCTCCAAAGGCCCCTGCGACTTCCCCAGGCAGGAAGACTCAGAGGGAAGCTGGAGAGTATCTGAGGGATGGACTCCAAAAGTCCAGGAAAGCAGATGCGGGTTGCTGGATGCATGGGACTTTGGGGACTATTATAGGGAGATGTTTCGGACTCCACAAATGCCTGGGACGCTCAATGCTGTCGGCGTTCGCTATCTTTAAGTCCCTGGAAATGCAGGGGGGTGGAGGGGGGGGCTGATTTGTCCAAATTCATGGGCAGGTAGACAAGTCTAGAGAAGCCCCGCTTCCCAGCCACCTGGGGACAACTGCACCTGTTGGTTAGACCTAGCAGAGGAAGGCAATCAAGCCAAGGGCAAAAGAAGGTATAAAACAGCTGGCCGGATCAAGATCTCTGCATCCAAAAATGGATGGGAGCCCGGGAGAGGGCATCAGAGAGGAACAAAGAACTGATGGACTTGTCTGTGCCTTCCAGGATCCTGCGTGGCTGATGGGCAATGCCCAGGTGGCAAGTATGTAGGTAATAAGCACTGCTTTGTGATATGTTTTCTCAGAGGCACTTCTATCCTAAGATAAGTAGCACTTTGCTTTTTGAACACTGGCTGGTCATGGTCGCCGAAACAGCAGAGACAAGGCAGACTTGCAAAGGTAATCCCAGTGCATCACAAGGGTCACCATATAATTAGGGTGATGGCCTGGGTGCAGAAACTGAGCGTGGCATCAGGGGGTGTCAGGACCTAGCTGGCAGCAAAATTGTGACACAGATAATCTCCAAAGGCAGGCACAGTCTATTTAAAGCCGGCCCTCTGGTAAAAATAGCAACTTCTGTTGTGCATGTAGCCCTCGGCCTTCGGCTTTGGGCAGCGTGCCACATTCTCAGGAGTTCTGGCACCTCAGGCGATCATTTAGTCCGTGCCCTTGGAGCCGGTTAAATATTATGCACAGCAAAATATTATGCATTGCACATGATACGCTGTGTGCTCATCCCTGCAGAGGAACCGGTTCACATGCTACTGACACACAGCGACCTCTGGAGTGTAATGCAGCAGCAGCTGCTTTTAAATAGCACTCAGCAGTACCGTAGATAACCGATGTGAACAACAACTCCAATTAGGGGGAGTGCAGACAGGGAGACTGTATCTAAAGCACCCACATTAGAATTTGCATGGGCCCGCAATTTTGTTGCTCTTTCAGGAAATTTCATGGATCTTCAATGGCTAAAAAATATCCCCCCCCTTCTTTTGGGTCTCACGGGCACAATGCCTCCAACACTAGGACACTGACCCAGAAGGCACAGAGGTGCTTAGGATGCAGAAAGATGTCACACTTATCCCAGGATAAACCATTTTATTCTAGAGCAAAGCCCAATCGTACAGAGGTCCATATCCATTGTCCCATTATGTATTATAAAGAAGTTCCTAGATAAGAGGTAGTAACAGTTTATCCCAGGATACTGGAAAAAAATAATCTGCATCGCTATGCTGGGATTGAATCAAAAGCAGACGATAGGCACTGCAGTCAGCCACTCACTACACCCAGATGAGAAGGGCAATGTGTGTATACACCAACCCTAGGGATCCTTTTGTACTGGGACAAACACAAGCACAATTTAGATCCAGGGCTGAATGCAACATCTGTTCCTAGCCTTACTGATGGCAAAAGCCCCCGGTTCTTCCACGGAAGTACTGACTCCACCTGACTCGGTTTTGACTGTGAGCCCTGAGAAGGTCACAACCTGCATGCGTTTCTCCAAGACTCGGTGCAGAAGGCGACGGTAATGGTGTGCCTAGCCCTCAGGCCAGAAGCGCTCCGGGGGGTGACTTCAAGAAGGCAGATCCACAAGCATCCCTCCAGCAAAAGCTGCCCAAGAAGGGCACTGGATCTCTGCATCTCACAACTGTCTTGTTCCTGCCTTCTCGCAGTCCTGGCCCTGACAATTTGGGGGCTGCACCGGGATAAGAGTCCGGGCTCTCATCTTAGCAGCTTTCAGAAATAAGGATTTCTGTGGGCCTGCGCAACACCCAAAGAGCCCTGGAAAGTCAAGGTTGAGCTGCTACAGCAAGAGCCGGCAGAGGAGTGTGCAGAAGCAAAGGGCACAAGACAGCGAGCGTGACAAATTCATTTCTTTGGAGCGCTGCTTCTGCTTGGACTGTTGCCCACAGCTCATTACCTTCCACTGTCCTTGTCACTAGAAATTCAAGACTTCCCAACAAATTCATCTCTCACTGGTGCCTGCAGC